GGCCCTGGGAGCTGGCAGATGCCCGGGCTCCCAGCTCCAAGCTTGGGGCCCAGGGACAGCGCTGGCCCCACCCCTTCCTGTGCCCTTATATGGGCGTCAAGGGGGAGACTCCGGGGACCGCACCGCCCCCCAGAGGAGCGCGGACTCCGGCGTGTTGCCACGGCGACCAGGACCCGCTCCCCTCTGCTGGGCTAATGGAATCGTTCCCAAACTGCCTGCCTCCAAGATCGCCCGTGGGCACCGCGGGCTGAACCATTGCTGGCGGGGGCTGGTAACGGGAGGCCTCTGAGGCTGGGCATGTTGGGCGCACCCCGACCTCCGCGGGGTCCCGCGCCCAGGTTCCTCTTCCGAGGCGCAGAGCTGGGCCCGACCCAGGGCGGGGTGCAAGGTCCCGTAGGAACCGAGTGACGGAGGCTGGGCCGGGCTCCTTCCCCCAGGGCTGTTGCCACACTTCCTGCCGCGGAGCTCTTCCCCGGCCTGTTTCTAAGGAAGGAGTGGGGTAGGGCGACCGCGCCCCAGCCTCCGGGCTGGGTCCAGGCACAAGGAGCTGACGCGGGGTCGGTCCAGCCCAAGGTTCCTGGGGATGGACTTCGGGATGGGGACAGAGCACGCAGGCGCCCGGAGGTCACCCACACGACGGGCGTCAATCAGGGAAGACCCAGTGGTCCGACTCCTCGGGGTCCTCAACGGCCCTTCCTTCCATCCTGTCTCAGTGGGACCTCTGTCATTGTCATCTCAGCTCTGAAGGTGGCCCGACCCTCCTCATGCTCCTTCATCAGGGCATCGCCAATGACCCCAGGGACCCTGACCTGTGACCATGTCTCCCTGTCCCCCACATGTCCCCTCAGTGGACCCCAGGACCCTCATTCACTGCCTGCATATCTAGAGCCTCCTTCCCAGTTACGGGAGGCCTCAGCCTCTCCCATGGACTCCATCTCCCCCTCCCCACACTCATCCCTTTTCTTGGGTCCAGCGCCTCCCATGAAAATGCCAGTCCCTCTGTCCTCAGGACCCCCCTTCATTCCTGAGCCAGGCATCTCCTCTCCTTACCCCTCTCCCATTTTCCCTGCTTAACCCTTCCTTCTCTCTTCTATGGGGTCTCCCAGAGTATTCACAGCCCTCCACCCCTCTCGGATACTACGGGCCCCTCAGACCTTCTGTGCACAACTGGGGGACCCCCCCCACACACACACACACTTGCTCTGTATCAGTTCCTCGGGTCCCTCACCTCGTACTCCAGGGGTATCATCGCCCTCCCTGGAGCCCCTCCCCGCGGGCCTCGGACCCTCCCAGCAGCCCCTTCCTCGGGCGCCCAGGGGTCCCCCTGAACCCCTCCCCCTGCAGCCTCGCCAAACCACCCAGCCCGTGGCCGCTGTTTACAAGGACACGCGCTTCCTGACAGTGACGCGAGCCGCCTCCTCCCCTTC